GTGTATGGTAGTTATGTGTACTTTATGGTAGTTATGTTTAGTGTATGATAGTTATGTGTAGTGTATGGTAGTTATGTGTACTTTATGGTAGTTATGTTTAGTTTATGGTAGTTATGTGTAGTGTATGGTAGTTATGTGTAGTTTATGGTAGTTATGTTTAGTGTATGATAGTTATGTGTAGTGTATGGTAGTTATGTGTACTTTATGGTAGTTATGTTTAGTTTATGGTAGTTATGTGTACTGTATGGTAGTTATGTGTACTTTATGGTAGTTATGTGTAGTGTATGGTAGTTATGTGTACTTTATGGTAGTTATGTGTACTTTATGGTAGTTATGTGTAGTGTATGATAGTTATGTGTACTTTATGGTAGTTATGTTTAGTTTATGGTAGTTATGTGTAGTGTATGGTAGTTATGTGTACTTTATGGTAGTTATGTGTAGTTTATGGTAGTTATGTGCAATATAATTATTAATTATATATCACATGCATTTTAGCTTATATTACCACCTTGAAATACTTATTCATACAAATTCATCCTACTTACACTGTTATATTCTATTTTGTTGTTGTTTACTATATTTCTTTTGGACCTTATAAATATTATATTTTACTTTTTCACTTTTTGGTACTTTATTTTGTACCTTATTGAATGAGTTAGTATTTATTGTTTTGAGCGAGTCTGATCAGTTCTTCTCATCCTGAACATTTCAGTCAGAGTTTCTTTATTGTCGTTCCACTGCACGTGGTACACGAGGTGGAACGAGATTATGTACACAGAGTCCCAGTTACATCCAACAATAAAATGTAAAAAATAAAAATCAGAAACAAGATCTAAGATATGAACTAAGAAAAACATACACTAAGCACTGATAGCACATTTTTAGTTGACGTTTTTCTTAGTTCATGTCTTAGATCTTGTTTCGTTGTTGACCTGCATGACAAACACAGCTTGAACATGAGCCGAAGGTTCTGGTGTTTGAACAGCTAAAAAACAGGTTTTTAATTCAACTACTACAGAAAACAAACAAAAACACTCAAATGTTCTTTTCCTAAAACTTCACTTCTCTGTCATTTTTTAATAGTTTCCCAAAAAAAAAAAGAAAATCTTTTGTTTTTACTTTGCTGATCCAAAGAGACCGGGCCTGGACCAGAACCGGATCACAGTCAAATTCTACCACCGTGGCCAGCCGCTCCTTCCAATCACAGCTCAGACCTCATCCAAACATTTGATAGGAAAACCAGAACCAAATCCAGCGGTGACCTTTGACCCCCACCTGCTGCTCAGGTTACAGAGGCAGCTGGAGCAGGTCCTGAGGAAGAGAAATGGCGCCGCCTGCTGTCCACCTGCTGCAACTACAACAGCATCTTACACACAGTTAGTTAGTTAGTTAGTTAGTTAGTTAGTTAGTTAGTTAGTTAGTTAGTTAGTTAGTTAGTTAGTTAGTTAGTTAGTTAGTTAGTTAGTTAGTTTTCCAAGGAGACACAACCTGACAGAAACACAATTCTTCTTTGTTCAGCTGTTTCCTCTTCAGGGGTCTCCACAACAGGTCGTCCTCCTCCATCTCACTCTGTCCTCAGTGTCCTCTGTCCTCAACATGTCCTCTCTAACTGCATCCATACGTCTCCTCTTTGTTTTTTTCTGCAGCTGCATTTCTAACATCCTGCTACCAATATACACACTGTCCGTCTTCTAGACATGTTAATTTGTCCTCTAGTAGTCTAAGTCTATAGCCGCATAACAAGCCGACCCTAACTATAGGATTTATGAAAAAGGAAAGTCTTAAACTGGACAATGTGTCAGCCTCATGGACAGAAACTGGAAGTTGGTTCCACAAGAGAGGAGCCTGAGAACTGAAAGATCTTCCTCCCATTCTGCTGCTGGAAACTCTAGGAACCACGAGTAAACCTGCAGTCTGAGAGCAAAGTGCTCTGTTAGTAAAATATGGAACAATAAGATCTGTAATTTAAGATGGAGCTAGGTTGTTGAGGGCTTTGTAGGTTAGAAGTAAGATTTTGAATTCTATTCTGGATTTGACAGGGAGCCAATGGAGAGAAGCTAAAACTGGAGAGATATGATCTCTCCCAGTAACTCCAGTTAAGACTCTGGCAGCAGCATTTTGGATCAACTGAAGACGTTTTAAAGAAGTATCTGGACACCCAGATAATAAACCATTGCAATAGTCCAGTCTAGACATGACAAATGCATGGACCAGTTTTTCTGCATCATCTTTAGATCAGATGTTTCTAATGTTAGTGATATTACGCAGGTGGAAGAAGGAGGTTCTAGTAACGTTTTTAATGTGGGGGATAAAAGACATGTCCTGATCAAAAATAACACCAAGATTTTTTGGATGAGGTTATTATTTTTGACAATTCAGAGCTCAACAGGACAAAAACAGTCCAAACATAAATCAAGTTCTAGTGACATTTTTGAAGTTGTCTCATCTGACACAGAACCAGAGGTGATAGTAGACCATATAAACCACATCTGGAACACAAAAACAACACCAGGAACAAAAAAGGTCACATCTGGACCACAGATGTTTTGAACAGTTTGTATAACTGAGGTTATATAAATAAACAAGATAAATTTATTATTAATAAATTTCCAAATTTTTTAATGAATTGCGCCTTTATTTGACTATTTTCTTAAACACACACCCACACACATAGTTTTTGTTTTATAGATTGCTGTTTTTTATTTTTATTTCTGTAAATAAACTACACAGATTGTTGATTTTAATAATAAATATATATTATGTGTTTTTATTTTATGTGTGTCACTTTAATTAAATATAAATCATGATATTTTAATAAAATATATAACATGTAAACTAACAGTAAATGTTGCCTACAGGATTTATTTGTAATATGAGTTGTAAAATAATAATGTAAAAAAAATTGTAAAATAATATTTGTAAAATGATTTTTTTGTGACATCACTTCCTGTTAGTTGTAGCCGCCTCCTTCTGAGGTGCAAATAGTGCGATGTCTCACTCTTATCTAATTTTTCAGACTTTCTTATTCCAACAGCTTTTATTAAGAGAAGTCATTTATTTTTTTAATTAAACAACGCATTTTTTACTAACAGATAATATCGTTTTAAAAGTAATTTGTAGCGTTATTGTTTTAATAATCAGAGGGGCTCTGAATCTCTTCACCAGTCACTGTCTCGTGCTGAGTGAGTCTTCTTCGCACTCATGGACAATCTTCGCAGGTCCCAGAAAAGGTGGGGCGCCGAGTTTGATGAGCAACTTGGAAAAGTTTTCCGAGTGCAGTTTTTGTGTAAACGGGAGGAAACGCTTCGGCAGGTGAGTTACCGGACTTTATCCAGGTTGCTTTAATGCCCCGCTGTGTTCTTTCTCTTCGGTCCGAAACGATTTTTTGCCCTTTTTTTTTTTGTTGTTGTTGAATTCCTCCCCCGTGAAGAAAGAAGCGTTATCAGTCTGCTAGCTATCAGCGGCCTGAGTGACACGGCCGCCAGCCAATAGCGGCCGCCGTAGGGCGCTCCTTTGGGGGCTCAGCCAATCAGAGGCGCCGGTGCGGCTGAAGGCGGGAATCTGGAAGAGCAGAAGTGTGTTGTGTAGAACTGGTTTCCAGCTGTCAGCTGAAGCAGAGAGGAAGTGTCGACAGGAGGACTGGCAGTTCCTGTTCAGGTCCACTCAGCCCGAACCCCCTGCACTTATCTGACCTTCAAAGGCCAAGTGTATTTATTCCACCGCAGCTCTTCGTCTCAGAACACGTTTCCCCAGGAACCTCCAGAACAGTTCCTGCTCTCGGACACATTCAGGACTGGTGCTGGGTCCAGTTCTGTGCTGGTTCTGGAAAGAGACGGCTTGCTTATTTAAAGTCCACATCGTTCAGTACCAGTCCTGGCCGTACCACAAACGAACCGGTTTTTAAGGCAGATGTGACACGAGCTGGTTGTTTTTGTTGATTGTTACAAAAACAGATAGTTAAAAACAACAACAACAACAACAACTGGTTTAATGAAACAAAAGGAGTGAAGACTCCTGCTAATGCAGCTAATGCTAACCCTGCTAAAGCTACTGAGGCTATTTATTAAGCTAGCATTCAGCTACATGTAGCTAGCCTTTAGTTGCACTGACGGTAGCGTTCGGCTACTTGTAGCTTTCAGCTGAGTCTCAGCATCTTCAGCAGGTTTCTGCAGCTTCGTTTTAGTTCTCGCCTTTGTCTTGGTCCTCCCCCTGTAGGTACGGCCTAAACAACAACAACACTGATGGTTGTTGTTAAAGGAGCCATTTTGTTTGGTGAAGATGTCTGGCTCTGGCTCAAGATTCAGCTGTGTGTTCTTTGCAGGAACTTTTCCAGGATTGTTGTCGAGAACCACAGGAACTAAACCACATTAGACAGAAGGATCCAGAACTGAACCACCGCTGGGCTTCTTTAAGGAGGTAAACTTTACATTTCCTCTCAGAGTGCAAGTAAATGAGACGAGTCCTCCGAGGTAAACTCTGTCCTCCATCAGACCTGCTGGTCTCATCGGGACCTCCAGGACCCGTATCGCGGATCCGTACGGTCCTGCAGGTCTCATCGGGACCTCCAGGACCCATATCATGGATCTGTTTGGTCCTGCAGGTCTCATCAGGACCCGTATCACGGATCCGTTTGGTCCTGCAGGTCTCATCAGGCCCTCCAGGACCCATATCATGGATCTG